GCCCGCTGAAGCCCGCGGCCAGGAACATGTTCTCCAGCCGGGGGTGCGGGCCCAGCACCCCGTTGTGGTCGAAGGTGTTGTAGTCGTAGTAGCCGGCCCAGGACCCCCGCACCCGCAGGGACTCGAAGGACGGCACCCTCCGGGCCAGCCGGGGCCACAGCTGCTCCTGGAAGTAGTCGTGGTCCACCGAGAGGTTGCTGGGGTCCGGCTCTTCCTCCTGGGAAACATGGATTGGGGCGGCTTTAATTATAGATACCTGTAGGAGTCAGGTCTCAGGAAAGGGTGTTTTTATTATGTCCCTATTTAAATCGTGTAGTTTGGGTTTTTGCAGTGGTTGTTGGTTGTATGTTTTTCAATCTGACAACTGTACCTGTTTTGAAAATCTGAAAAGGAATCAACACGAAGAATGTAAGGCTCAACAAACCCAGATCATGTCTTACCTGCTGTCTTCCCCCCCCCCTTTTTTTTTGTTATAGAAACCCAAAAGTTACACCCTTTCCTGTAACCCGACTCCTACAGATACCCTTGGAGGAAGATATATAGCCAGGAGGATGGAGCTTGGTTCCTGCCCAAGGAGAAGCACCTTCCTCAAAGATAGTTGGATGGTTTTTTTTAACTCCTGCATTCCAGAGGAAGCTTCCAGGCTCTCTCCCTCTGGTTTGAGCAGAGATAAACCCTCACAGATGTTCATCATCAGGCAGCGATGATAAAAGCCAAGGAAAACCAGAGGGGCATGTCTTTCTCAGGCACTGTTAGGAATTTTCCCTTGTAAGCCCAGGGAATAAACGTTCCTGGAATCCTTCCGCTGCCTGGCATTTTGGGGGTATCTTCATCACAGGGTTTGATAAAGAACAGGGGGGTGAATGACCTGGGGGACCCCTCTGGGCTCACCTCGGGGGGGCTCATCCCGCCCAGGTAGTTCCCAGCGATCCCTTCCCGACGGAAATAAGCGCCCGAGGTGTCCACGAGGAAGGGGCAGGAGAGCCCAGGGCCATCTGGGCAGTGCCAGCAGAACACGTACCTGGGGAACCCCCCAAAAAATAGGGTGAGGGGTGCTGCCCCTGCCCCCCATCTTAGGGGTGGGATGTGGGGACGCCCCAAAAAATAACATTGAGGGGTCATGT